CGTCATCTCCAGCCTCGGCTTCCTCTTTGCACGGCCCCTGGCTGCCCAGGCTCGGGGCAGCTGCCCACCTTTCTCACGGGTCTCTCCGCTCCCTGTGGGTTAGGCTTCACTACAACTCTTTCCTTTTGCCAGGTGTAACCCCTGCCACAGTTTCTTCACCTGTAACATCAGGACAATAATGATGTCATGAGGCGGACGTGAGGACCAGAGTTGACACAGTAATGACGTATCAGTGATGATTGGTGCCTTTGACCTTTGGCCTGCCTGTCTCCTTTGCTCCCTCTCTGGTCTCCTGGAATACTGGAATCCAGTCCTTACCGTCGTTGGTCTGTGTGGCCTTGATGTTGCTAGGGATCATGTCTCCTCATCAGAGTGACCTTGAATCTGACCTGTGGCTCTCTTGCTCCAAGGACCTCTGTGTGCCACTGTCTCGTCTGTCCAACCTCTTCCCAGAGCAGCCTCAGCACGTGATGGAGCAGCCATGCAGCGAGGCTGGAGTTGATGGAGCTCCCACCCACGTGGCCAGGGCTTTTGATTCTCATGTCCTTGCATTTTATCCACTGCTGATCCCAGAGCCCAGAATGGTGCCCAGCACGTAGCTGGTGTCCAACAATTATTTGCCAGATGCACAATGAGTGAGTGAGAACAATGAAAGACTCGTCCCCAAACCGTTAAAGGTGAGTCCCCCAGCCCCCCTTGGGCTCTGGATTCTTCCCTGGGTCCTTCCTGGGTGACTCTGCTGCTTGGGTTGTCTCCCCTCCTCCTGCTCGTCGTCCTGCTCCTCATGCCAAATCTGCCTCCGCCTTCTCCCCATTTCCTGTTCCGGCCACAGTTCCCCTAACACTGTCCTGGCCGGTGCTCGCTCCCATTCCTGTCCCTGGGAAGAGGGCTGCCCTGATGCTGTTCACGTCCTGGACCCCAGGCTCTGTGACCATGGCGGTCCGCAGCAGAGGACCTTACAGATGTCATAAAGACAGTGCGGCTGGAAATTTACCAAATAAAGGTGGGAAAAGACATAATTGGAAGAATTTGGAAAATAAATTGTTTCATAGAAATCTACATTTTTCCCAAGATTTTTTACAAATATACAAGCACACCTTTAATTGTTGCCATCAAACTAATAAAGCCACACCATGCTCTGTCACTTTGCTTTAGGAAAGACCCAGGAATAATTTCTTAAGCCTTTTGATCTGCCCCCCACCAACTCCATTTCCTATCTTACCCCACCAACCCCTTTCTCCCTCCTCCTTCTTCCTCCCTCCCTCCTTCTTCTTTCCCCCTCTCTCCTGTCTTTCCTTCCATATATATCTGAGTCCCTACCCCATGCCAGGCTATGGTTTGGGGACCACAAGACAAGAATGGTCGGTTTTGTGCTTTCTGGCAGCCTGTTCCGTGGGAACGATTTTGGAAGACCTGAGCCTTCCAAGCTCCATCCTGGAAACCTCCCTTCCAGCTTCCCCCGCTGGGGCATCCAGGTGTCTCCCCAGTAGCAGGGGTTTCCCAGCCACTGGATGGTGAAATACAGCCGCGCTGCTTCACCGCGGGGACGTGTGCTGAGACCTGCGTCACGAGGTGGTCCGTCACGGTGAGAATGTCACAGAGGGTGGCTCAGACAGCCGCAAAGGCACCAGGTGGTCTGATCCTGTGGGCCCCATGGTTTGGGCAGTCTGATGTTGACCAAAGTGTCCTCAGGCAGTGCCTGACTACGGCACTTCATGTGGATTTAAGGAGCGTTAGGTAGTACTTACAAGTGTGTTGAGCAAGCCCAGAATCAATGAACCAAATGCGAATTTAGATTCAAACACATTTTCCTGAGTTTCATCGATTTCTAGCGTGCTGCCTGGCAAGGGGAAACGGCTGCTATGAAATGTTACCAACTGCATACATTTCCTCATGTTAAAAAATCTCATTATGGAAAAGTCATACTTTAGCATTATCCTCTAGCAGGGAATCGCAGAAGGCACGCAGGCGCAGTAGTGGAGCAAGGGTTAATGCAAAATGAAACACAGAGAGTAATTAATCTTTTGTTTACTTGAAACTTTCATATCCAAATGTTTAATTTCACATCCACACTCCTGCTCTTTTAAGCACTGGATGGTACTGTATTCTAATTACTCGGCCTAAAGCCACTTTTGAAAACAGCTTCCCCCCTCTCTCTCCTAAACAGTGCTCAGGAAAACCCAGCAGAATCCTTATTTCGGCTGATCTTGACCTTGCCGTTGCGGGGTTGTGCCTATCTTATCCCTCGCTCCATTTCAACCTCTCTGTGTCCACTCGGGAGTCCTGCTGGTGACGATTCCCTTTTGTAACAATTTTCTTTATGCCAGATTTTTAAAATAATAATAAGAGTGATCTCTGAAGCGCACCCCCGGGGAGCAGCCTCAGACCACACGGCTTGTGATTACTAAGGAATACTTGAAGCTTTCCCTTTGCGTCCATGCGTTTCCAGCAGATTTCTTTTTGGCCATGTTGCTTTAATTAAGTTTGGCCACTCTAGGAAATGGACAATCCTGCATTAATGTTCTAGGGAAAGAAATGAAATTCTCCAGGGACACGGCTGCCTGCCCAAGCGCGTACCCCGCAGAGGAAGGGACGGCAGCTTCCTTAGCTTTGAGTTTGTGGGGTTTGGCACACATTTGAGGCTGTCTTGTGAACTGGAAAAGGAAAGGAAGAAATGATAAAAGAATGGACGAGTGAACACAGGTGTGCAATCAACTCTGCAGCCGCAGCTCCACAGCCCGAGAGGAGTCTGCCTGACGGCCCCAACTCTCCCTCCGTTTGGTTAGGATTGTATCCCATTCTGGCCTTCCTTCCTTCCCCACTTGCCCTTCCTTCCCCCTCCCTCCCTCCCTTCTCTCCTTTTTTTGCAGGAGGATGTCTTGGGCCATTTGCTCACATACACTGAGTTATCAGCTTTACGTCTCCATTCAGAGTCCTTTGATATGTACAATGAAAGCGTGTTAGCAGTGGTGACACAGGGCACTGCTTTCTCTGTCCCGCTCTGTTCACGGCTGAGCTCCTATGGTCTCTCCAGTCAGGGCCGGCTTGTTCAGTGGGCACAGTGGGCGCGCACACACACACACGCACGCACACACACACACACACAGACTTGTGATACTTTTAGGGGTCTAGGAAGTGTCATAATTCTCATTTTGGTTTTGTTTTTCAATTGGAAGAAAACAAGGAGGCTTTAGGTGGTAGAAAATGTCTCAGTACATAACATTAGTATTTTCTACCATCATGCATTTAAAGTATGATTTTTCTATTGTTTTATGGAGGAAGGGCCCTTGGAAGAAAGATGCCTGAGTCCATGAGACCTACCTCGAAGTCTTCCTCCCTTTAGATACAGCTTGTGGCTCTTGAGCCTGGCGGAACATTCAAGTGACTGGGGCAGGTTTTGAAAAAGTCCCAGGTCCACATCGATGTGGATCAGGACCTGGGGGTGGGGCGTCAGCCCCCGTGATTTGAAAGCTCCTGGTGGTTGGAATGGGCACTCTGGGCTGGGAACTGCTGGGGTGCTTCTCAGCCTCTGTGTGCCCCTGTCACTGGGGATTTTGTTGACGGCAGATGCTGATTGGGTAGGCTTGTGGGGAGGGGCTGGGACCCTTATCTCTAATCAGCTCCTCTGGGATGGGGACAGCCTTCTGTAGCAGGCTCTGGGGGGGATGGGCTGGACTGGCGGAGTCTCCACCTGAGCTCTGGGGCCTGGAGGACCCTGGCAGCTGCTGTTTATTGGGTACCAACTGCTTGCTAGGTGCTCCTGTGCTTCTTCAATGTCACAACCACTCTGTGAGGAAAGTAGCCTTGCTCCTCTTTTACAGATGAAAACTCTGAGGGTTGGAGAAGTTAAGGTTGGAGCCCAGGATCCCCGGACAATGAATGGTGGTGCTGAGATTCGAGCCAGCTCTGAGAAACCCTGAGAGTCCACAGTCACCCAGGCCCCACCCTGCCTCCACCACCTCCAGCAGCTCCTCCAAGATGGGGACCCTTCAGTGCCCAGGGCCCCAAAACCAGGGCTCCTATGCTCCTGCCTGTGGCTTCAAATAACCCCAGCCTAAAATAGGTGAAAACATAAAAGCAAAAGGCGCCTAGTTAATGATGCAGGTTCACCATGCATCTGTAAGGCAAACGCAAATCCAAAATGTCACAAAGTCCAAAGCTCTTTGAGTGCTGACCAGATGCCACAAGTTCAGAGGCCACACCTTGAAAGTCCCAGTCATCCACAAAATTATTAACAACCGTGTATAAAATCACCTTTGGTCCACGTGTAGGAGGCATCTAACAAAACGCAAATAAATTTCATGTTTGAACTTGGGTCTCGTTCTCAAAATATCTCATCTGGGTCCCAAAACTTAAAGATCATCTGAAATTGTAGACTTTTGGTCCAAGCAACTTGGATAATGGAGATGACCTGATTCCGCTGACCGTTCCCAGCTCCGTGCTCTGGTGTGTTCTGATGATCCTTTAGTGCTCCTGACGCTGCTCCCAGACCTCCCCTTGCATCAGCCGAGGGCTGGGGCCGGTCTCCATCTCGGTGCGGTGTTCAGGGCCCTCCGTGCTCGCTCTGGATTTCCCCTCCACTGGCGCTTCCCCGCACCGGTCTGATCCACCAGCAGATGTTCACCGAGTGGCGCGTGACGTAGGGTCCTCTCCCACATGCTGGAGTCCTCGTGTTGTCGAGGGGCCAGCAAAGACCCAGACAGTTTTGCTCGTTCTAGGTGAATCACCATGTGTTTCTATGAGAATTTTAACTTTCTTGTCATAATTTCAGCAAAATGACAAATCATTTTGCCATGTTTAAGATTTCCACAAAATTTGTGTTTGAGGAACAGTGTAGAGCTGAAAGATTGAGAAATCAAATGCAACTCTATTCAATAAATGCAACATTTAAATATATTTTCACTCAAGTAGAAATTTTAAAAATTCTAAATTTAAGATATTAAAGTTATTTTCCATTTTAAAAGTGATTTTCTTCCAAATCATTTAAAATCAGTCCAAAATAAAAATACACATTTTAATTAATACATTTCAACAATCAACATCAAAATATTTAATATCACTAAAATTTTCATTTTTTAAAAAAATCAGTGACGTCAGTACAGTTTTAATAGAAACTCTTGGCAATTCTGACACTCAGCAGTCACTTGGTGGCCCATGGAAAGGAATGGGTGTCAGGTTTTATGCCTGTGATATGTCTGTATCTGTGTCTAGGAACGTGAGAGTGTTGCCAATCGTCACAGAGGATTCCTGTCACCATGAGCAACTGTGACGGAAGCAGTGCTGATCTTGGTGGGCCTCGCGCCTCTGGACCAGGAGGGGACTTGGGAAAGGTGGCTGGTCTGAGGAGCCCCCTGTGGCCCTCCCTCTGGGAGCAAGGGTTAGACAGGAGCACTGCCCCTCTGCCCCTTACCATTGGCCCCAAGGCTCCATCCTTCCCTGCACTCCAAAGCAGGGTTTTTGCCCAGCTCTCAGACATTCCTGGCCTTGGGAACTGTCACCTTTTGTCTCAAGACATAAGCCAGACACCGAGAGGGATTGTCCCAGATCAGCAAGATTCTAGTCCTGAGAGCAGATACCTAAGGAGGATCCTGCTCCTCCCTTGTCCGTCCCAAGGAAAGTACTGCCCAGTGCTTGGAACAGTGTCTGGCACACGGTAAGACCTAAATAAAACCAGCTCTTACAGGTGTGCCTCTGGAAAGCTGTCTGGGCGCCGTTGTTGGTGGGTGACCCTAGGCGCAGGCCTCTTCAGGTGTGTCTTCCTGGGCTGCCGCTTTCCGCCTCTTGTTCTGCGTTCTGAAACCCCTCCCGTCTTTGGGAACCTGGGGGTTGTCGGAGGCCTGCCTCCTCCGGGCAGCTTCTCAGGTGTGTGCAGTGGCTCTGGAAGGCTGCCTAGGCCCACCTCCTGGATGCCACAATCCAGTGCCCCTGCTCCAGCGGCTTGCTGGGCCCCTCTTGGAGGTCGCCCAGGTTCTCCCACTCTCACACGCCCTGGAGAGGCCTCCCATCTCTGCGTCAGGCTGCATCTGCACTCTGAGGCTTCCTCTTGTTCCGTCTGGAGAATCTTTGGCCCCTCCTGCTTCGTTTGGTCTCTCTCAGGCTCTTCTTTCTTTCATAAAATCTAAAAGTGCATTTTAAAAATCCAAGAATTAGCTCTTTTCTTCCGCCTGCATTACTGCGGAAACATTCCTCCTTCAAGGCCACTGCTGCCTCCATATCCGGCTGCTTGTATGGGACAGGGGACCCAGGAAGGTAGGGAAAGCCACATTGGCCAGACAGGGGGAGGGGTGCAGAGAAAGGGCACCTCCCCTACTGGCATCTGGAGCCTGACTTGGGACTTCCGCTGTGGCCTGTGAGCCGAATGGAACCCTCTTACACCAGGCATCTACTCACCCCGCTCAGGCCAGACCAAATCTCTTACAGTGTCGGAATGGGATGCCAACCCCCGTCCCTCCCTACCATGTGCACAGACCTGGACAGGTGAGCCCGGCCCTGCCCTCAGCAAGCTCACCCTCTGCAGTGTTTCAGAAACTCCTTTAGGAAATTAGCAGCTCGTTTTAGAGGAAAACAGGATCACAGTTAGCAGGTGTCCTGTTAAGTGAGCTCAGCATCCACACAGCCAGGGATGGACCCTTCTTTGCTTGTAGTTTTCTGAACCCACAAAACAAATGGTTTTGCTTAGAGGTGTGCACCAGACTGGAGTCCCCGAGGTTCCAGGTCCTGATGGTGTTTGCTGGTCCCAGCGCTGGTGGCCCAGGCCCTGGGGATTGGGCCCTGCGTGCTGCCCCCTCTCTGGGTGACTCTGCTCACCCTCTGGTAGTCCTCTGTCTGGATTTCTGCTAAGCTTCCATTCATACAGCACTTTGTGACGTCACTCGACTCCTCACTGGGCTCAATGTCACTGTGTACAGCAGAGGCTCATCTTTCCTCATCAGCCTGCATCGGCCGAGGTGGACACGGGCACTGAGTGGGGAGGTCCAGGGGACTAAGAGGTGGGGGCCGTGCAGAGAGCAGGGAGGGCTTCCTTTTAAGGTGACTGTCGACCATCACAGTGAAAATGGACCACTCTAGTGTTTCAAGTTTTTCCAGGGAGTCAAGGCTGGTGGAGACACCTGGACGCTGGCTGGACACCAGCCGAGTCTCCAGCTCATGTTTTCTGGTTCGATTCCCACTTCAGGTCCCGCCGCCTTGTCCCTGTGTTTCATCCAGTACCTTTCAGTTTTTGGTTTCTGGAACTAGGCTCCCTGACCTCGGTCCTGAGCATTGGGTTTGAGTCTCTGCTCACTCTGTCTCTCATCTGGGCACCTCTGACCCCTTAGTGCTGTTGGAATGTCCCCATTTTTCAGGGGCACCAGCTCCGACTCTCCTGGCAAAGCCCTGTCAGCTCAGGACTTGGTTCTTTCTATCCCGGCAATGACGGTGACGGCCTGCTGGCTCTGCCTGTGCCATGGACTGTGCTGTGTTCCCCCAGATGGACGCTTGCTCTCAGTCCCTCTTCCCCCGCGGAACCTGGCAGAGGGCTCTGAACACACCAGTGCCAGGACATCTTGAGGAGCCAGTTGTCTGTGCATCACAGGTTGTGTAAGGAGCCTAAGAGATGCAGAGTGGGACCCAGGGTCAGGGGCTGCTGCCATCGTGCCTGCAAGCCAAGTTCTACGAAACCTGCAACCCCGGCACAGCAAGGAACATCCAGGGCGATTTTTGAACTGAGGCGGATTCTGACACAGGCTGTGTGTGTGTGTGTGTGTGTGTGTGTGTGTGTGTGTACCTGTGAATGTGTGTGTGTTTAGAACAGACACCTGCAGGTGGAGGTGAGAGTAACATGCAGCTGTCCTCCCATGCTGGGAGCTGCCCTCTCCTCACTTACCCTGAGCTCCTTCCCAATTTTTTCTGCTTCTTCCTCCTGTGGGGCTGTAAGCAGCTCTGGAGGATGTTTCTACTTGGAAGTGCAATTTGCAGTGAGTTGTGTGGAATGCTCTCTGGGGTGGACAGCTGCAGGACACCATCCTTGGATGCAGGATGCCCTGATGACACCCTTGGTTGTGACAGACGCTGTGCTCGCAAGCGTCTCTTTTTCCCAGCAGCACCACCTCTCCTCCTGCTACCCACACCTTCAGAGTTCTTGTCTTGTAGGGACTGGTATAAATAAATCAGTAACTTAAGGTGATTGCTTTGATCCAGGGCTTAGCTGTGCAGTTCTCTGGGAGCCCTTCCCTCCCATCATGGATGCAGTCCTTCCTAGGGCCACCATGTGGTCCCTGCATCCTGTCCCGTCATGTGCGATGGTCAGTCACAAACTCCCTATGCACAAGAGTTTCTGTGGCTGCAGCAGAGCTGACCCGGCCCCTTTCATCTGAGAACATTGCTGTGGTCTCAGCTAAGTGGACGCTCAGGCTCTGGGTGACTCTGTCATCTGCATCCCTTCAAAGGGGCTGGGCAGGTGGAATCGGCCCCTTGTCCCTTGTGGCCATCCACATCAGTGTCTCCTAAAATACCACTTCCCCAGGTTGGGTGGAAAGAATTTGGGGGTCACTTGGGATCTGTGTAAATTAACATTTATGTCATATTAATGAGGTGCTAATTAATTTCTGTGCAAATTAATTTAGTCCTGTTTGCATAGAAGGTATCCAGCCTGATAGGCCTGGCCTCCACTGCTGTCAAAGTGATTATTGGGCTTCTGTTAATAAGGAACCTCTTTCCTGTCTGCTCGCTACTACATATGGGGTGTCTTTTGGGACTCACAGGTGGTTTCCACATTGTTAGGGTCATTTTAGAATTACACTGTCTCCCAAGGACAGGGGCATTTGCAAGCGGTGCTGCAGTTAATAGCTGTGGAGTGTCTGTGGATGCCATTAACCCCCAGGAAGCTGTGAACTCACTAATGCCCTTGTAGGTCTTCCTCCTTGCTCAGCTTCCTGTCACCTTTCTAAGATGACGAAATGACAAGCAGCTTCAGAGCCACGTGGGGTCCGGCTGGAGCCACTTGCTTTGGCTATTCTTCTGGGCCTCTTATTTTTCCAAATGAATTTCATGACTGCCTTTCCCCCCCTGTTTCTATGAAGAACATCATCAGAATCTTAATAGGAATAGCATTAACTCTGTATAGAGATTTGGTAGCATGGCCATTTTGACAATATTGATTCTGCCTGTCCAGGAACATGGGAGATCTTTCCATCTTCTAAGGTCCTCTTCAATTTCTTTATTTAGTGTTCTGTAGTTTTCATTGTAGAGGTCTTTTACCTCTTTTGTTAGATTGATTCCCAAATATTTTATTTTCTTTGAGGCTATAATTAATGGGGTAGTTTTCCTCATTTCTCTTTCAGTGATTTTATCACGGAGGTATAGGAATACAATTGATTTATGGGTATTAATTTTATATCCTGCTACTTTGCTGAGTTTATTATGAGTTCTAGTTTTCTGGTATGTTCTAAATATAGATTTAAGTCATCAGCAAATAGGGTTAGTTTGAGTTCTTCTTTTCCTGTTGGTATGCCTTTAATTTCTTTCTTCTAATTGCTCTGTGTAGAGTTTCCAGAACTCTGTTGATTAGAAGTGGTAAAAGAGGCTATCTTTTCTGTCTTATTCCAGTTTTTGGAGAGAATACTGTCAATTTTTCTCCATTTAGAATTATGTTGGCCTCGGGTTTAGCATATATAGCTTTTACAAAGTTGCGGTATATTCTTACTATTCCTGGGTTTCCCAGGGTTTTGAACATGAAGGGGTGCTGTATTTTATCAAATGCTTTTTTTGCATACATTGAGGTAATCATGGGATTCTTGTCTTTAAGCCCATTAATGTGGTGAATCACGTTTATTGATTTCCATATGCTGAATCAATCCTGCATCCCTGGGATGAATCCCACTTGATCATGGTGCACTATCTTTTAAATATGTTTTTGTATGGGATTTGCCAGGATTTTATTAAGAATTTTTGCATCTATGTTTATCAGAGATTTTGGTCTGAAATTTTCTTCTCTTGATGTGTCTTTGTTTAGTTTTTGTGTCAGAGTGACACTAGCCACATAGACTGAGCTTGGAAGGGTTCCGTCCTTCTTTTCTATTTCATGGAATAATTTGAGGAGGATTGGAGTTAGTTTTTCTTTGAAGGTCTGGCAGAACTCAGCCGAGAATCTTTCTGGTCCTGGGCTTTTCTTTCTTGGTGGGATTTTCATGGCATCTTCAATTTCATTGTTGAAATTATCAGTTTAAATTGTGTATGTCCTCCTGATTCAGTTAGGGTTAGGTCATGTGTCTCTAGACATTTGTCCATGTCCCAGGTGTGGGGAGACGCTCTGAATGACTTGCGCCTTCCATCCTGAAGCCAGAGGCTGACCCTTGTAACCCTGTCCCTTCTGGCCAAGAACAAGGGTGCCTCCGTTAAAAGCTCATTTCCAAACATCCTGGTTCTGTTCTCTTCCTGTCCCGTGACTTTGTCTTGCTCTCCCATTTGCGGACCCTGAGGCCGAGAGCGGAGAAGCCGTCTTGAAGCTTGTGTAAAGGGAAAGTGTGTGCCTGGGTTTTATTTGGTGTCCCTGGAGATTCACACCAGCCACCTTAAGTTCAGCTGCCTGCACCGGTCAGGGGCTGCATACAAGATTTTCTATTTTATGAGAATATAAATTTTCAACATTTATTTTAAAAAGATTAGTGTCTGTATTTTTATAGTGTTCATTGTGACATTTCCTTTTTCATTGCTAATTTTAGTAATTTGAGTTTTCTTTCTCTTTCTCTTTGTTACCTTGGTTTATCAATTTTATTGATTTTTTTTCAAAGAACCAACTTATTATTTTGTTGATTTTTGGAGTATTTATTTTGTTTCAATTTTATCTCTGATTTTAATTACTTCTTGTCTTTTAGTGTTGATTTGTTTTCTTTTTCTAGGGCTTGGAGATGTAATAGTAGGTTTTTTTATTTGTTGACTTTCTATTTTTTTAATGAATGAGCTCAGTGCAATGAAGTTTCCTCGTTGCCTTCACGGTGTCCAAGAGACTTTGATATGTTGTATTGTTATTCTCATTTACCTCTAAGTATTTTTAAAATTTCATCTTTGATTTCTTCTGCTGTTCATTCATCATTGAATAGCATATTATTTAGTCTCCAGGTGTTGGAGTAGCTTCTATTTTTTATTTTATTGTTGATTTCTAATTTCATTCCATTATGATCTGATAGGATGTAAGGTATTCTTTTGTATTTGCTAAGAGTTGCTTTGCAGCATAAGATATGGTCTATTTTAGAGAAGGATCCATGTGCTGCTGAGAAGAAAGTGTATTCAGTCATTGATGGATGAAATATTCTATATATTCTATAATTGTGTTTTTTAGATCTATAGCATCTTTATTTTTGGTTTTTGTTTAGAGGATCTATCCAGTAGTGATAGAGATATGTTAGAGTCATTGAATATTATTATTATGTGGTGGCATATTTAATACTTGATATTGAGAAGTTTTTGTTTTGTTTTGTTGTTGTTGTTATACATTAGATGCTCCATTGTTTGGAGCATAAATATTTATAATTGTTATGGCTTGTTGATGTATAATTCCCTTAAGCATTATGCAATGTCCTTCGTTATCCCTTCTGATTAACTCTGGCTTGCAGTCTACTTTATCTAATGTGAGGATGTAAACCCTTAGTTGTTTATGAGATCCATATGAATGATATGTGTTTTCCCAATCTTTTACCTTCAGTCTGTGGATGTCTTTGCCTCTGAGGTCAGACTCTTGAGACAGCATATTGTTGGGTCTTTTTGTTTTTAATCCAATCTGCCAGTCTATGTCTTTTGATTGATGAATCTAGGCTATTTATATTCAATGTTATTATTGAGATATGATTTTTATTCCCTGTCATTTTGATTTATTTCTGGTTTTCAATTTGAATTATTTTCTCCTTTGATTGACTATTCTTCTATTGTACTTTCTTCCTTTGCTGTTTTTTGCTTTTATATCTTCATGAAATATTTTATTGAATATGCTTTGTAGTGCAGGCTTTCTAGTTGTGAATTCTTTTAACTTTTGTTTATCGTGGAAAGTTTTTATTTCATCATCAATTCTGAAGCTTAATTTTGCTGGGTGTAGTGTTTTTTTGATTCTTTCATTTCAAGGATTTCTGCTTTTTTTTCCTTCCAGAATCTCTAGCTCTTTATTGGTGTGATCTTTCACTTCCTGTATTTTCTTTCTGATTTCTCTCCTTATACCACCCTTTACTTTGCAGATCAGTTTGACTGTGTACATTCTAGACTCCTCCTCTGACATTGCTTGCACTGTGATGTCATCATGTTCTATTGCTATGGTGTGAGGTCATGGACCTCGACTGCTCATTCAGTGTCCTTCCCCAGACCTCATGGCGCCAGGGTGGGGTCCTTCTGTGCTCCTCTGTCATTCCTTTCAGCAGGACCTGCCGGTTATTGGCTGTGGGCAACTAGGCTGACCAGTGAAATCTCCAGCAGGTGGAAATACAGCATTCAGTTTCCCAGAGCCCCAGTAGGTTTTCATTCAAGAGGTGAAGAGAGTTTAAGGTACCCGAGTGGATGTGGTTTGGGATGGTGTGTGTGTGTGTGTGTGTGTGTGTGTGTGTGTGTGTGTGTGCGCGTGTGAGGGGGGATGCTGATGCACTTTGATGGTTATGGTGAAAGAACCTTGTTTCATTTTGTTTGGGCACTGGGGATGGAAACCAGGGCCTGTGCCTGCTGAGTGACGACACTCCAGCCCTGAGAAGGACACTTCTTATCAGAAGATAAAATGCATAGCCCTCTTCCAAGATTCTGCTTACGGACGCGGGTGGCATATGTTTATCTAGAGTAGCTCTGAGGAATCTGCTTTTTGAAAAGCTTCAGACAAAAACAGGCATCTGTAGGTTGTGGAAACTGTGGGGAGGTTAACTTTATAATGAGCCAGAAATTGATTGATAGAAGCCAAAACAATAAAGGAGCGGTCACTGGCTCTCATCTTGGGTGGACTGGGCAGCCGAGGGTGCCTGGAGTGTAGGCTGTGAAAGCAAATGTGAGGAGGATTCTACCTGGAGGTCACTTGGCTTAATCAAGGGCAAGGACTGGCTTGGAAGAGAAGCCGGAGGTTGACCCCATCCTCACCGGGTGAGGCTTGTCCAAGGGATTTCTGAGTGTGAGTGGTGGACAGGAGGGACCTCCTAGGTGGAGGCTGCTACTCCTGTAGCTTTGGCACATAGCACCCTGCAGCCCTGACCTCCAGGGAGCTCCAAGAGAAATCCTTAGTGATCTAGGAGAAGGCCCAGAATGAATCTATGGATTTTCCAATTTCGTCTTTATCCCTGGATTATGGCTACCTGTAACAGGTTCTTAAACTCAACCTTGAGACTGATTGTTTGCCTACTTGGGAGGAGGGGTCCTTTTCCAACCCTTTGATATCTTCACGTGAGGCCCGAGGTTTTGCTTATGGAGGTCACCCAGCAGTGTTTGCTGATTGACTGGAAAAACTCTCATTGGTGGTCTGGAAGAAGCTGGAGCCTTGGGGTCTGAGAGGGGCACTCTTCTTCCCAGGTGGTCCTGGAGGAACTGGCTTTGGTCTGGGAACTTCTGAGTGAGAGTCTTTTCTGCCCCCAGGGTAGACCCACAGCTCCTGGACAAACCTGTGAGAGACAGGCACTTCACTTTCATGGTGGGGCACTTGACCCTGGGGCTGCCTCTCCTGACAATCACAGAAATGGAAGAGATTCTTGTGGCTCTGGGTTGCAATTGCTCTCACAAAGAGTGAGAGATGTACAGAGATTTAAACAAACAAACAAACAAACAAAAAACCCAGGAAGCCTGGCATGAAAACAGAGAAGCCCATATTTTTGACTCGCTATGTCTTACAGTAATTGGAACCCCTTCTAAATGACAGCAAGTTGGATTAGATGGCAAATTTAACAACATTAAATCATTAGCACTTGGTGACTACCTTCTCTGAAGGGTGGAAAGATGAATTAGAAATGGTAACCGCTTCCAAGAAGCTGAAAATTTATGTAAAAGGAGGAAGATAAAGATAGATCTAGATACAGAAAGATGACAGATGACAGAGTGTATATATATTGTTTACTTATGTCAAGTTCTGGTGCATTATTGTATAATCTCAATCTTTGCATCTCATGGGACAGATGCTGTTATTATTATTGCTCTTTTACATCTGGGTAACTGTAGCACAGAAGGTTGGCTCACCTGTGGAAGCTTACATGGCTAGTAAATGGGAAAGACAAAATCCAAAGCCAGGTTTGGTGACTTGAAGCCACTGTCTCATTCCCATGGTCCACATTGGAACCTGGTCTTCTCCATGGCCCCTTTAGCTTGCCCACCTCCGGAGCTAGTCCAGGATGGGGTTGAGCAGTTGACCGAGGAAGAGGCTGTTGGAGAGGCAGCAGAGATGGTAGAAATCTGGGGGCCATTGGAGCCTCTGTCTTTCTGGGGACAAGGGAACCACCTTTTTGGTCTTTCCCCTGCATGGGACTTCGGGGAAGGTGGGTGGAGATTGCCATCTCTCCCTGGGTGCATCAACAGGAGGCTGGTCACAGGCAGGGTCCAGTCCCCTCCCTGATGAATCCAGTTATTAAAACTGACCACAGGAAGGCAGGATGAGGGGTTTTAAAGGACAGTTTCAAAAATTGAAACATGGGCTAGGATCAAGTTTAATCAGAATATTGGAAGTTAGAATGTGGCCAACGTTAAAGAGCAGACCGAACCTTGGAAACAAAGTGCATGGGCCACATGAAGTTGAAAAGGTGAAAGACAGATTATTTTTAATTAAAATAAGGTTTTGGAGTTGGGGTGCCACAGATATATCAGGGAGGGTAACAACAGGAAAATTGAAGTCAGAAAAGAATTAAGTCCAGCTGACTAGTTGGGTTGGATAAGTGAAAACAGTAAAATATATATGAAGAGGAGCTGCTAAAAATCCCTTCCTTATGTTTTCATGCATTGTTTGCATTCATGGGCTAAGTAATTCATGCTGGATTTAGAGGGTATTGACATTAGTCCATGAGAATATCAGTTTCTGCTCTGCTGCTCAAGTTATTGATGAGGTTGGATTTTCTCTTTCTAGAAGATGAACTGATTGCCATGGATGAGCATCACTTAAGAAATATTGTTGTCTAGGAGATGACCCCAGATGGATGCTTGAAGACGAGGTGGCAAGTGACAGAGGCCAGGCCAATGTGAGCACATGATGCACACGATGCTGAGGAGCTACAGATGTGGGTCCCAGAAACCCAAAGCTTGTTTGTCCACTCAGGGGCGGGACTTGCCACTCCAGGAGAATGGTGGCACTTTGCGGTTGCCTGGTGACACCCAGTGATGTTACACTGTGTTTGATGATGATATCCACACTCGACAGAGCTGCACACCCTGAGGCAGGCAGTTTGTCTCCTTGTCCCCAGGGAGACAGAGCCTCCAAAGGCCACTAGATTTCTGTTGGGCCTGGCTTTTCCACTGGATTTCTGAAAGCCAGGAAGTTCCCTAAGGAGGCGGAATGAACAGAGGAGTAAGTTCATTCATTCGCTCGTTCCTTCCTTAAAGCTTTATCAAAGGCCTGATTTGTGCCTGGCTCCTTGTAAGATGCTGATGGCCTGGCCTCTGCCCTCGAGAAGGCCCAGTCTGACTGCATAGAAAAGTCTCCACAGCAAAGGTGAGCAGCGTGCACGTGGGCGGCAGGCGTGCTGTGCCTGTGTGTGCCCCAGAGGGCTGGAGCTGAGTTCTGCAGACAGCACTGGGGGCAGTGAAGGGAAGGGCTCTCTGGCACAGGGAACAGCGTGCAAATCCCTGGAGGTCCCGAGCCGCCTCTTGAGCTCAGGGGCATGTGCGGTCCACATCTTGCCTTCTAGCTCTGCCTCTCGGCTTGCACTCTGACTTATTGGTTATGTATAACACAGCGTCCGAGGCCAGGCCATTCCTGATGAACAGAAGTTGATGTGGCTCCCAAGTCTGGAGGCAGGAGAGGCTGAGGTCTCAGGAGGGACTGCGTCTTGCTGTGCCATAACAAGGGGAGAAGCTTGGGCAAGAGGGCAGGAGAGAGGGAGAGAGAGGGGAAGGAGGGAGAGGGGGAGGGAGAGGGAGAGAAAGAGGGAAAGAGAGAGGAGAGAGAAAGAGAGAGAAAGGGAGACAAAGGGGGGAAAGAGGGAGAGAGAGGGGGAAAGAGAAAAGGAGAGGGAGAGAAAGGGAGAGGGAGGGAGGGAGAGAAGAGACATAAGGAGGGAGAAGGAAGGCGGAGTGAGGAAGACAGAGGGTGGGAGAAGGAAGGGGTCAGAGCAAACTATCCTTTCGTCAGGATCCCACAGGAATGAACCCACCCACCCGTGGTGGGGTCAGGGCCCTGGTGCCCTAGTCACCTCTCATGGGCCCCCTTCTCAACACTGTTGCTCTGGGGATGAGGTTCCAACACGTGAGCTTTGGGGGGACACGCACAAAGGACAGCAGACTCAGCCAGCTCTGAGGGTCAGGTGATGGTCACCCACCAGGCTGTCTTGGCTCCGGGTGGGTTTCACAACTGCCACGGGGCACAGAGCACAGGCAGGAAGTCCCGAGAGACAGCATCTCAAGACCTTGGGCTCTGCACCTTCAAACACAGAAAGCAGCCCGGCCCAGGGCACATACCCACCCCCTAAAATCTCATCGCTAATGTTTATCAGACATAGGACCTTTTCCACTTCAAATGGAATTGTCTCTGCCCTCGGCGGGGACAATTCAGGGAACTTCCAGCCGAATACTGGACGATCTGAATGAGCTGCAGCAGCAAAGCTAGAGAAGTCGCCTTTTAGGAGCTACAGTGAGAAGCAGTTTCTGAATATTTAAGGATGGCTATTTCTGTGAGATTCTTTGTGCGTGAGCGCTCGGGCTGTGTCGAAACAACGCGCTCTCGGAGGCATTCGGACACGCCCCCACGGATGCTGTGTATAACTAACTTGTCAGGCAGCGGAAAGGTTCGCTGGGCAAAGTTAGACTTGAGCCTGGTGGGAAAGATCTCAAACCAGCCAGTCCTGAGTTAATGAGATTCTCCCTTAGTGCAGGTCACAGGCTTCCTCCTGTCAAACGTGGAGTGGGCCTGGAGCCTGGGCAGGGGCGGAAGCAAGTGGCCTGGGAGTGGATCGGCTTCTGGGGACAGGGAGTGGAACTGGCTATTCCTCCCTGGGCCGCGGATCTGGAATCTGTGTCTTCAAAGCTGGTGTGCACACCTGGCCCCAAGCCCTGGGCAGCCTTTGCCCAGTCTCCACCTGAGGAGGTCAGCAGACCGAGGGCCGACTGTCCCCACGAGGGCTGACTGTCCCCACCAGGGCCTCACGCCCAGCTGTTGCCCAAGCTCCAGGAGTGTGGTCACCAGGTGTCATGGTGAGGGTGGGAGCCCCTCCTCCAGGCCTGCAGGGCTGTTTCCTCTGACGGAGGGTCCAGGAGTGAGCGTTGCCACCCGTGAGCAGACCCGCTGCCGGGACTCTTGTCTTTGTTGTGTCTTGGGCTGTTGGCTGAGTCTGCTGTTTCCAAGCTGTCCTGACTTCAGATTTCGGAGGGTGCTTTCTCTCAGAGGGCCTGGGCTTGCAGAAAGCTCCTCGTCACCGGCAAGGACAACACGGCGGTGGCAGCAGCTCTGAGGTCAGAGGTAGTTTCAGCACACGGGGTGGGGGCATCCGTTGCTCTCCTCTTTTTCAAAATCATCCAGTTGGAACACGCGTGATTCTTGTGAGACAGGACCCTTGGACACATGGAGCCAGCCTCGTGTTCCCGGGCGGATTTGCGGAGGGAGCAGTGTGGGTGGGGACCAGCGGAGCCAGGCCCGCCCACCCCTGGGCCAGCTTGGCCAGGGTGCGCTGCTTGCTAAATATTTCCTGTTTGCAGGCCCCTGCTGGTGTGGAAAGGGTTTCACAAGAGCCTGGTCATCTCTGTTCCACGTGTTTTATCGCCTGCTTTTTCTGATAAGAAATGCACACACAGTTGGGTGGGCACTGCACCAGGGAAAAGCCAAAGGACCGAGTCCAGAGAGAGCTGCGTTCTACAGAAGCTCGTTTTGGCCTTTGCAACCTCTGGGCTTTTTGTTCAGAGTCCCCTCCTCAGAGCAAGGTGCCCAGGCCGCGAGGGGCCTGCGGTGCGTCTGCTGTCCAGGAGTGGCTGGTCCCCCCTCCTGTCCTCGGGGGCTGCCCTGGGGCCTGAGAGCTGTAGCTGTCTCCCGCTCCTGCGCTGGCCTCTGCTCGGCAACTGGGAGGCGTCTTTGCCTCTGGTCCTGTGTGGAGGACAATCCCATGCATTTCTAAGTTGTTTGTGGTAGAGTGGCCAAAGTTGTCACCCGGCTCCCCTAGGAAAACACAACCTGTTTCTCTTAATCTGTCTCAGGCTGCAAACTTGGAGTAGGAGTCTTTCCTCAGTTTCTCGGACCCTCCGGGGCCTAGCAAAGGGAGTGAATGGCCTTTAAAGATGAGTCGAGGAGATTGGCAGTGCCTGGAGGTTCTGGTATGTTCCAGAGCCCTCTAGCCTTCTCCCAGCCGCTGAGGAGTCGCACCCCTCCCCGAAACTGTCCTCACTGTGAGGTGGTCCTGAGCTTGTCATCCTGTCCAGCCGGTGCTGCCGTGGCTCCTCCATCCTTCAGGAGTGTTTCATGACAGAGGCTCTTGCACTGCCCGAGGGGCTGCTTCGGCTCCGTGTCCCCTGCACTTTCTTTGCTGAGTGCTTGGTCCCTTCTTGGCTGTCTCCTCTGTCACCGTTCACAGTGGGCCGTGAATGCTGGTTGGCTTTCTCTGTGCTAAACTGGACTGTTCAGGGCAACTGTGCTTCTCAATCACCAGGAGAAATTGGAGCGGAAGGTCGGCCTTCCCACAGCCTGTCAGTGCAGCGGCAGCAGGAAAGGTGCCACCTGTCACACAGACAGAAGGGGACACGTCCTGGCCAGTCCGTGGAAATGAGGCAGAAGGTAAGAACAGAGGCCAGTTGACGTCTCCCTGGCTGGTGTTGTGTATACCCAACGATTGACACCGCTGCGCTCCTCTGAGGTTCATAGAGCACTAATGGAGGCCTGCATTAACCTGGGTGGTGAGCCTCCTGGACAGGTGTGATGCTGCTCCTGACTTCAGGGGACTCTGAGAGTAACGGGAGGTTGAGCAACAAATGCTGTCTCAAGGAAACTCTCCCAAGCGGTGGTGGACCCAGAGGACTGCAAAGGTGCCCATCTCAGCCCAGGTAGGCCCTGGGAAGCTAACGGCCCAGTAGGGAGCCTGATAGACTAGAGAAGAGGGAAGGGCCTACCTTTAGGGATGACTTTTCTAGGGAATTAGAAATGGTTCAGAATGGACAGAGGGAAGAGTCTTATGGGGGGACTAGGGAAGTTTCATCCATTCACTCATTCCAGGTATTACTGAATGTGAGGTCCACTACGCGGAGATGGTGCTACAAAAGCAGGTGAAGGGCCGACAGGAGGAAGGATGCTATCCAAAAGCCTCAGAGGCTGAAAGGACTCAGTACAGTGTTGGCTATTGTGGTGAGACATGCTGGGGGACAGGCATGCAGGCAGAGGGCCTGGCAGAGGGGAGAGGATGAGAGGAGGCCAGCTGGAGTGGAAAGGAGGCGCCTATCAAGGGGCGTGGAGGTCAGTCAGACCTGCTCCCTGGGTGGGAAATGTGTGACAGAAGGTGCGGGCCTTGGCGGTGAGGGAGGAGGAAGGTCAAGGTGGGGGAGCTGGTGGGTGATCTTCAGATGGGTCTGAACAGCTTGAGGTGCCTGTGAGGGCTGTGGGGTGTCCGTGGGGCCCCCGACGTACAGGCCAGGCTGGAGAGAGAGGACTGCAGATAGCGACGTGGGAGTCTCAGCTTATCGACTGTGGTGATGCTGTGAGAGGGGCTGACGTCACTCAGTAGTAAGTCAGAGGTCATGGGGTTGTGAGCACTCCCTGCGGCTGAGCCTGCAGTAAGCACGGAGGAGGCATCTAGTCTTCAGCTGGACTCTACCATAGTCGATTTTCCATTGTCCCCATTTCACAGAGCAGGGATTTGAGCCGTTTGGCAGTTTGAGGAAGGCTGCACAGTGATTGCAGAAGCTGGCGGCTGGAAGGAGGTTTGGGGAACTTAAAAGAGGGGTGTGGGAGGGAAGGGGTGCCACCCAGGAGCTGAGAAGCAAGTCCCAAGAAGAAGGCCCTGGGGACTTGTGCCGGGAACCTCCTGGGGGTGGGGGGATCAGCTTCTCTTTCACCTGGGGCTCTCCTGGAACTCCAGGTCTGAGTCCTGGTTCTTGTCAGGCCTCCGTGACCCTCTGTCTTCAGAGGGCACAGGATGTGCTGCCTGCAGGCCACGAGTCCCCTTCCTTCAGACCTGCAGCACAGAAGGACAGTTGTCACCTGGCTGCCCTGCCTTCCCAGGCTCCCAAGCTTCCCTCACCCTCTTGCAAGGCTCCTGCAAGTGGCAGCTTCTCTGACTCAGTGCATTGCACAAGCAAATGTCTTGCACACTTTCTTTTCCAAGGTCACCTGTGTGTCCATCTTGAAGTCCCGGAGGGCAGGAACTGTACTCACCAATTTGCATGCATTGTATATATAGTAGGTGCTTAGTAAATGATTGTATTAGTAAGTGTTTAATAAATGAATTTGGAACAAAGGAAGACAAAGTCCTGGAAGCTTCTTCTGCCCCTTAAATTCCCCCTTTAAGGCTCAATTTCAACCAAATCACGCTCGTGTTCCCATGGTTATTTCCTCCCCGCCCATGCATCCCATGTCTAGTGGACCTTTGAAGTAACTGTGTGTCTGGGGCCTGCGCTGGACACCAAGTCCTTGAGGGCTGGGTTCTTATTCCCCTCTAATGCCAAGTCCACTGCCCGACACTTGGTCAGGGTTAAGAGGCAGCAAGGGATGGGCTTTTATTCCCCTGGGGGCCCCTCTACCCTTCCCTGCTGCGTCCCCACCGTCCCCACCGTGTACCTCTTCTCCCTGGGCCAGTCAGCTGGGCCGTTGCATCCCATGCTAATGAGGGGAGCAGGTGGCCAGCCCCGCTCCCTGTCCCCTCTGAGCCTCGAGGACTTCCCAGCCTCAGCTGATCCAGACCCAGGCTCCCACATGATGTTATGGTGTTATGGGCTTCGGCTTTGATCAAAGCTGAGAAACGGCAGCTGAGGCCTGAACTGGCTGATAAATTAGCAAAGACTTATTTTAGCCAGTTGGGCCAGAGTCTGAGAATCCACTTGCCAGAAGCCTGTGCCACAGTCCCGAGTCAGAGCCCAGCAGCTCTTCTTTAAAGAGCCAGGCACCTGGAGAAGGACGGTGTGCTGCACTCGCAGGGTGCTCTCTAAAGGGCCCTTGGGTCACCCAGGGGAACAGCTGCACGGTCAGTGTTGGCCTTCTGCCAGCTCACTCCCTCTCTCTGAAGGAGTGGAGGCCGAGGGCCGAGGACCAGAGAGAGAACATGCACGTCTCTCTACATTAATTCCAACGTAAACACTGCACGCGAGCTCATTGGGGTAATATTTTCAGTGGAAAGATATATTTCTACTGGACACAGTACAAGAATTTTTTGCTCATGGAATTTTCACTTAACAATAGGGAGAAAATGTTTTCACGCAGGCAGTTTTGGCTCCAAGTGTGGATTTGACAAGTGTTTCCCCCATGCCACCAGGACTGAAGTATGCAGCTGCTATGGAAATTTCAGAGCTCTCCGAAGAACCCCCGATACATTAAAAAAGCACTCACTCACACATTTAAACCGTGCTTTCTATTGTTGCTAACAACATTTGAATATTGTAATCAGGGAGACTTCAGAGACCTTGACTGAGAAACCTGAAACACTCATGTAGCCGTTGGACTTTCTACAGTTTCATTTAGCATCATGGCAAAATACAAGTCCGCCGCGCGGTAAGTTTCACATCCTCTTCGTTGTGAGTTTTACTTTCTGTCCCTGTGATGCCGCTGATGTTTGGGTTTTCAGAACAGAAAGGGAGTAGTGGCAGGGAAGCTCAGGGATCTGTCATCTGAATGGAAGTCACACCACCGGGCTCTCCAGCTCATGTCAAAACCACCCAGGCCCCTTCCGCCTTACTCTGTGTGACTTCTGGTCCAGCTCAATGCCGACGGGATGGAGCACGCCATCAATGTCAAAGGCTGTTTCTCTCCTGCGTGAGGTGTCGTCCCCTGACCCCATGCCTGTCACTGTGGGCCTGGGCGCAGCGGATTGGCCCATGGGAGAAGAGGCCGCAGGGGGTTTTGTAGTCCTGGGGCCACGCTGGCAGCTTCCACTGGGCCTGAAATTGTGTCAAAATGACTTGGCTCTCTACGGCTGCAGCCCCCACAGGCTCCGTGTTGATGTTCCCCCAGTTCCTTCTGGTTAATCCTATTACCTTCCAAATGTAAAACCACCTTGCTGATTTTAAATTAATTTACCCTTGGAGGCTCTTGTTCAGGTGACTCTCTCCCACTGTTTTCTCATGATAATATTCAGCAGGAAGAGCTCACCACCAACCTCAGTCTGCTTCTAGAACATCTCCTAAAATCTTGGTCCCCCAACTTTGGGAGGTGGAAAACTTTGAAGAGGTGGGGCCTAGTGGCAGGTCACTGAGGACATGTCCTCCCAGGGGACGTGGGACCCTGGTCTCTGCTTTCTGTTTCATGGCTGTCATGATGTGAGCACTTTCCTTTGCCATGAGCTCCCGCCATGAGGCACTGGGCTGCCACAGGCCTGAAAGCAACAGGATCACGTGACCACAGATGGACAACCGTGAGCCAATAAACCTCTCCTCTTCTGAAGGCGACGACCCCAGCATGCGTGAGGGTGTCAGATCCTGTACTGGGATTAACTGGCCACCCAGCTCACACCCCAGAGATCCCAAGGCTCGTGTGAGCTGATCAGGACGCACGTTGGAGGTCCCTGGAGCATCATCGTAGGGAGAGGAAGGAGGGTCTCAGGGCTTTCTCGTCTTTTATCACCACAGCTCTGCCCAGAGACTTGAAAAGCCAAGTAGGACAACTTCTCATAGAAACCCCTCTTGATTTTAACGTGATAACTCTAGAACTTTGGCTCAGTTTTCTCCCCATCACTTGGATCAGCGTCATCATTGGGATCCTCATGTAACAAAACTGTGCAAGTCAGATTTAACTTTGTTTTGGTGATGGTGATAGGGTTTGGGAAGTACAAGTTATTAGGGTTCTCCAGGGAAACCAAGTCAATAGGATAAAGTCAGACACGTGTCTTATAGGAATGGCTCACGCGGTCATGGAGGCCAAGCTCCAGGATGTGCCATTTGTAGGTCCATGAAGCAGGTGGGCAATTCAGTTCAAGTCTGAAGGCCAGAGAACCAAAGAGCCCATGTTGGAGGGCAGGAGGAAAAGGATGTCCCAGCAGCATGAAAGCCCTTGCTAACACCTTTTGGTTACACTCTGGCTCTCAAAGCCTCCGGTGGCGCCTGCCTGCCCACACTGTAAGGGTGGTCTCTACACAGCCTCCTGATTCCACTTAATCATGAAACTCGCTCATGGACAAAGGGAGAAATTCTGTTTGCCATCTACCTGGGCATCCTCGGGCCACTCAAGTGGACACACAAGCTTGACCATCACACAGATCTTTGGCTGAGAGGTGGCAAAATCTGGAGCTCACAGAGAAGTCCCTGTGCTGAGCCCAGGTGATCCTCTCAGTGACTTGCTGGTGGCAGGGATACTGGGGTGGACACGGCTGTGCACCCCCTGGGAACTGGGTCTGCTCTGCCGTCTTGCCTGGGTACTTAGTAAAGCCCGTGAGGAGGCCAGCTGCCCTGTGGATGCCTTTCGCAAGTAGATTGAGCAAGAATGGGAATCCTGAAGAGGCTGCGTGGACCTTCCACTTTGGCCTGCCCCATGAAGGGCTGCGTCCACACTGCACCTGGGAGGGGACAAAGTGGGCTCCATCTGCATTATTGGTCTGTTACCAACAGGCTGTCATTTTAAATCTGAACCTTCACTGGTAGAAGAATTAAATAAGTTTTAATTAAAAATTAATCAGTGCATGTGTTCAGTGGTGGAGAGTGATAACAGCATCATTTCATCGGAATTTCTTTTAAAATGATTTTAAAATAAAATATTTTTAATTTGGAGCAAGGACACCTAAAATTTGAAGATTTTAGCTTTTTATAGAAGCCAACAGCTATGTTATCTTATGAATAGACCCCATCTCCTTGTTCTCATCAAGAAATGCATGTGAGGTAATGCATTTTAATTAGCTCAATCTGGCCAAGACATCATGTGTATGAGACATACGTATATAAATTTTTCATTTGTCAATTTAAAATAATTCTCCCTAAAGTGCTTCACTTAGGTGAATTCCCCAAGAGAATCCAGGGATGCTGAGTGTGGAAAGACCACACAAGGCCTTAGTTGCACAAGCAGTGTGGGTGCCTCCAGAGCACCTTTTCAGGCAGAGGGCTCCTAGCTTTGATTTCTTACAGTAGGAAATTCTCCCCTGGGCCTAATTTAATGGAACTTAAAATCCATTATTGACTTAGTTCAGTGAGGCACAATAGGCCCTAGGAATTGTGTCCTTGAGGCCTTTATTGGATCCCGGGTTGGATTTTCCTTGGTTAAAACCATCGGTTCCTTTTGCTGTCCTCCTCCTTGGTGACCTCGGCAGGCCTGCTGCGGTGAGCCTCTGGGTTGCTAGATGTGCCTGTCTCCATGAACCCAGAGCCCAGATAGTGGGACTGGCTTCCTAGCCTCCTCAGGACGGGACTCAGCCCTATAGTGACAGTGTTCACCATTAACAACGTGGATTTGGGAAGGAGTATGGTGTGAGTTGGGCTTTACATGCATCCTTTGTTCATTTAACAAATGCTTAATGAACACTTGGTAAGGCCAGATGTGATAAAAGAGCTTAGAGTCTATCAGGGAGCGTGCAATGCACAAGAACAGGTTATGATGATAGTTTATAATTATAACTTACAATTCTAGCTTATAATAATAATAATTTAAACATCATTTAAAACAACCATTATAAATTATAAGTGCAATTTTAATGGGAGAGAAAAATGAATTGGAGGTGTCAATGGTGGATAAACTTGTCACAGAAGTCCCTTCTAAACCCTACAGAGTTTTAAGGAAGGAGATTAAAACTGTCTTTATGGTTACTGTGGGATGAACATAAAGGTGAGGGCTGGATGGGCAAGAGTGGAGGTGGGGCGTCCAGACAGGCTTGGTTTCCTTCCTGGCTGAGACGCACGCCGCCCACCCTATTCGTTCTCTGTGTCTGCATATTGGGGGTAAGAGCACTGACCACAGGGAATGGCTGGGGGATCAGAAGACGTGAAGCCCCACTCAGCCTGGCCACGTCAGTCTTGCAAGACAGCTCCTCGTGTCTGCCATCCCAGGCTCTCCCCGAGGCCTGGGGACCTCTCCCAGCTCTGACCATTGCGGCTCTCCCTCTCTGTGCCTGCACTGGAGCTGGAGGGACCCAGGTGCCTGGCGAGCCCCCCTCTAGGGGACAGTGGTCAGAGGAATTCTCGGGATCATAGAAAAGGCTGCTGGGGTCCAGGGGCCCCTTGGGAAGGGGGCTCAGATGGAGGGTAGATGGAAACAGGGGCCCCAAAGGTAAGAGGGGGTTTTATGCTGTCCAGGGCCCTCACCCAACTGTTGTTGCTGGCCATTCTAGCCAAACCTG